TGTCATATGAGATATATGATATTGTTATGCTTGCCATAACTTATATGCTTAATTGCATGAGAAAGAAGAGAATCTCTTATGAGATAACATGAAAATGTTATGCATAACTTATGTGTTTAAATGCACGAGACGAGACTACCCATAGCCCATGTTTTTAAAGAGCCTATGATTTTCAAGAAAATGAACCAAAGATGATGATGATATCACGTTGTATATTGCATAAGTATGTGTTCAATTATTCTGTAAATTAATTATCGGCGATGAGTCTACTGAGTATTCCCGTTATTTTAACAATATTTGCAGATTTCGGAGGCGATCGTGATTGATGGGCAGTGTGACAACAATTTAATGAATTCGGTTATTTATATTTGAAAATTTCGTATTTGAACGCTATTAATGTACTTTGTTATGTCAGTATTTCAAAAACTCGAGATTTGAAATTTAATCAATTTTCTTAAGTTATTAAAATGAGTTTTGTTGTCGACGAGATTTTTACCGTTANTAAAATGAGTTTTGTTGTCGACAAGTTTTTTTTACCGTTATAAATGCGAAATTTGAAATTTAGTTATTTTCCGCAAAACTTTTTAGTTTAATCAGTTACAGAAGACGATGACGTGGCAATCCGGGTTAACGGAACTCGGGGCGCTACAGGTTGAACGAACCGACCATGAAAATATTTGCAACAAACAAAAAGGAAAGATGGAAATTTTCCGATGAAAAGTCAAATGAATCAACTACAAAAATGACTAGATGGAATATGATGTCGATGAGGGAGCAAAACTTATAAGCCTTCGCACAGTTCTACTTACTGGATTTTGAATAATGAAAACCATCATTTTTCATTTAATGACGGACAACAAGAAGGGAACCACATGAAGAGAAAATATTTGATTTGATTCAATCTAAAAAGAAAGAAAGATCACTCCTGCAGCCATTTTTATCCCAATTTTCAGCGCACTCTAGTCTCAAAGATTACATCTAATTGCTACTAAACAAATACCCATCTGTAAAGCTTTCAGCACATGCCAACTCTAAAGCTTTGGCCATGATGGAAACGTTAGATTTTTAGGGTGCAGATTGTTGGAAATTTACTTAACATGCACAACGGAAATAAAACAATTTTCAATTCCCACACACGTTCTGCAATGTGTTTAGATAGAAACTGTGATAAGAATTATACTTTTGATAAATTCATTTCTAACAAACACAAAGTAGGCTCTGATACCACTGTTGGGAATTTACTTAACATGCACAGCGGAAATTAAACAATTTTCAATTCCCAAACGAGGATCTGCAATGTGTTTAGATAGAAACTGTGATGAGAATGATACCTTTGATGAATTCCATAAACTCTTTTACTTTTCCTTGAACTCCAATGATCACGATCTGTAATCCAAGCTGTCTAATTATCCAACCTCGAATGGTGTTCCACACAGAGAACAAGAATGACGGCTAGGGTTTTACTTTTCTTATGCTAACAAGAATAATGAAAATTTCATACTGTTTTCAAATCCTAGTAGCCTATTAATATAAGTCCAAATGGGCTCGGCCCATCTGTTAAACTTAACCCGATCCAATATTTAATTACAGAAAATTCAAATTCACAGCTTTGGACACCAAGAGTTCAACAAAATGCCTTAAGCTTGGATTTCTCTAATTCAAAAGGCCTTTTTGATCATCTCTTTATTCAATCCTCACTGTAAGATCTCATTATTTTGAGGCCCTCTTATTGGACTCTGACAGTTCGAGAGCTAATCGCAAAATGTTTATCCATCACCTCGCGAGATATTTATTCCCTACTTCGCCAGATGTTTTATCATGGCTTTCCGAGATGCTTAGCTCTAAAACCTTGTCATTCTGAGGTGAGCTCATAAGACTCCGATAGTTTGAGAGCTATTCGCAGGATATTTATTCCCCGCTTCGTCATCTGTTACCGTTTTCCATTTTCCACCTCACTTTCAAAAAAATGTTACCGTTTATGGGCCACACTTAGCCCCTTTTTTTGATTTTTATCTTACAACTTTTATTTTGCAACGGCAATATTTATTCTAATAATGAGTAAAAAGGGCGCCCAAACGTAGACTTAACAAGTACAAAATGGTGATAATTAGCTCCAGTTTATCGACCAAATATTCTATCTCTTTATCTATCATTCCAAATTTTATGAGTAATCCAGAATTACAACAGCTACTGTTTTTCTCAAGGTGAAATATAGTGTTCTTTATGTCATTTTTTATTTATTTAATGAAATAATTTTATAAATAATTTTTCATATTACTGTTAGTTTTGAACTGTCAACTTTGAAGGCTGGAAGAAGGCCACAATGAAAAAATTGGGTAAGACTATATTATCCTTGGTTTTTGAAAAAGAAAAATTACATTTTTTGTTGAGTTAACGGAGTATTTGACAGTGGATGGATGGAAGGACATTTTATGCAATTAAAGGTGAGGGTGATGGTGAAATTGTCAAAAAATGAAACATTTTGTACAAAAACATTGAAAGATGTGGACGTTTTGTGCTAATTAGCCTTTACGAAAATAAGGATTGCTTATTTTTTAAAAAGTCTTTTCCTCTTTTTATTTTATTTTATTTATACTAAAAATTTTCCGTAATAGAAAATGTAAGTGGCTTTAGTAATTTTTTTTTAGAACGAATAATTTTGATAGATGGACAGGCGATAATAAATTGAAAATTAAAGACTCGACGTCAAAAGATATTGTTCAAGTGCTCTCAAATTCAATAAATAGTACGGAAATAAGATCTAATTAATTTGGAAATAGGAAAAAATACCATTAAAACCACTCAACTAAAATAAAGAATATATACTTCTTAATTTTTATTTAATTTGTTTGAGTCAATGTTTGGATAAGCTAAAATGTTGGAATTCGAACATATTTGTTTCATTTTATAAAGTTTTTCCACATTCTCTCAAACTAATTCCAATACTCGTGGATTGATTGTCAATCGATAATACCTCGAATTTCGAATGTGGGAAAACTTTATAAAATGAAACAAATATGTTCAAGTTCCGACAAAATATATGAGATAAATTACACGATAATGAATGATCAACTAAAAGCCAAATTCAAGATCAAGACTACACATCGAACATTAAAAACTAAAGATTAATAAAATGGGCAGAATGTATGGCTTACGGTTGATATATTTGCGTCCCCTAAAAGGACACGGAAGAGAAATATTTATAGTCTTACATGTGAAATGGTTTCTATGTGATGGGGGACATGTGACCTTATCTCCTTAATTGAGACATCTTATCATGGGTATCAATTTTGACTTCACTAGCCTTTGGAGCATTAAATATCTTCGGAAGGGAGTAGCCACCCTATAACTTATGTCGACAGATTTCGACCTTTTTATTCATCACAAAAATCTAATCAATCATTCCAAAATTATTTCATAAATTCAAGATTTTCAAATATGGATCGTCACCCGTCTTAATTGAGTTTCAGATTCTACTTCATTTGAAACTCACCACTTCGGTAAAAGGGGTTTCGACATGTCCACTCCATGAAATTGTTTCGGTGCTTCAAATTCTACTTTATTGAGTCTCACTACTTCAATAAAAGGGGGGCTTCGGCATGTCTATTTCATGAAACCGCTTTGGTGCTTCGAATTTAGAGGACTCTGATATGTCATATGCGCTCCATGTGGGATGCCACATAGTTTCGACATAAGGGGTTCGGTTGAGCCACGTGAAAGCCTAGATGACAAAAATGATAGCATAGTATTGAGTTTGAGAAAGCAGGTCTCAACTCCCAAAGAAATAAGCACAAAAAAAGTGTTATAAGCTAAGCCAAACATGCTATTAGGCCTTGTCCAATCACGGTAATACGTATACTAACCTAACACAAAGACCAGAGGATTCAACTCTATAAAACCTAGATCTATTTCACGGCTTTCTATTTCCCCAATTCGTCAAATCTCAGTACAAAACTCTTATCTCTCTATAATGGACACTATTCAATCGAACTACATGGACTCTCCATCTGAACCTACCTCCGAATCACAGCAGTACTCAAGTTTTCAGAATTATTCTTACTCTTATCCTGAAAACCCATCGGATTCACATCCCGAAACTCAATTACAAAAAACCCTAGATTCATCACCTAATCCGGCTATTGAAGATGGAGCTCCGAATGGAAGTTCGCCAAAACCCGAGATGCCGAAGATCTTGGTTTCGGAAAATGGGTTGACCAATAGCACCGACAGGGATTTCTCCGGAGGCGAAGAAGAGACGACCAGCAGGAAGCGACGAAGGTCCCGGTGGGATCCTCCGCCGAGCGAATCGAGCAACGATGGGGTTGGACCTGGAGGAGTTGATAGTAATAGTGGAACTGGTGGGAGGAAGCGGAAGTCCAGATGGGCCGATGACGAGCCCAAGCCCGTGATTCAGTTGCCTGATTTCATGAAGGATTTTACCGGAGGTATTGAATTTGATCCCGAGATTCAAGCTTTGAATAGTAGGTTACTTGAAATTAGTAGGAAATTGCAATCTGGGTTGCCTTTGGATGACCGTCCCGAGGGTGCTAGGTCGCCTTCTCCTGAACCTATTTATGATAACATGGGAATCAGGATAAATACTAGGGAGTATCGTGCTCGTGAAAAATTGAATAGGGAGAGACAAGAGATTATATCACAGATAATTAAGAAAAATCCAGCCTTTAAGCCACCTGCAGATTATAGGCCGCCTAAGCTTCAGAAGAAGCTTTACATTCCGATGAAAGAGTATCCAGGTTATAATTTTATTGGACTGATTATTGGACCAAGAGGGAATACTCAGAAGAGGATGGAAAGAGAGACGGGAGCAAAGATTGTGATTCGGGGTAAAGGTTCGATGAAAGAAGGTAGGCTGCAGCAGAATAGGAATTTGAAGCCTGATCCTTCAGAAAATGAGGATTTGCATGTCTTGGTGGAGGCTGATACTCAGGAGGCTCTTGATGCTGCTGCAGGTATGGTTGAGAAGCTCTTGCAGCCAGTTGATGAGGTTCTCAATGAACATAAAAGACAACAGCTTAAGGAGCTCGCCGCATTGAATGGAACTATTAGGGATGAGGAGTATTGTAGGTTGTGTGGTGAGCCAGGACATCGGCAGTATGCATGTCCTTCTCGAACTTCAACATTTAAGAGTGATGTTTTATGTAAGATATGTGGTGATGGTGGGCATCCTACTATTGACTGCCCAGTGAAGAATACTACAGGCAAGAAAATGGATGATGAGTATCAGAGTTTCTTGGCAGAATTGGGAGGCAGTGTTCCTGAATCTGCAACCAAGCAAAACTCGGTAACACTTGCCCTTGGCCCTGGCAGTTCAGGAACCAATCCTCCTTGGGCGAGTAGTAGTAACACTACACAAGCTGGTTTAGGGTCTACCATAATCAAGCCAAAGGAATATGATGAGACAAATTTATATATTGGTTATCTGCCACCTACTATGGAGGATGATGGTTTGATCAGCTTGTTCTCTCCATTTGGTGAAATTGTGATGGCTAAGGTTATCAAGGACAGGCTATCTGGTCTGAGTAAAGGATATGGGTTTGTTAAATATGCTGATGTCCAACAGGCTAATAGTGCCATTGCGAGTATGAATGGACACAGACTAGATGGAAGAACAATTGCAGTGAGAGTTGCTGGTAAACCTCCTCAGCCTACTGTGCCACCTGGCCCTCCTGCTCCAGTAATGCCGACTTATCCTGCTCCAAATCAGCCTGCTGGGGCCTACCCATCCCAACAGTATAATGTAGGTGGTCCAGTTGGTAGTGCACCACTAGGGGGCTATGGCGGGGCTCCAGTTCCATGGGGACCACCTCCACCTCCTCCTTATGCATCTTATCCTCCACCTCCTCCGGGTTCAACCCTGTATCCTCCGCCGCCTCCTTATGGAATGCAATATCCTCCACCAATGCCACCAGCATCTTCTGGTACCTCATCACAGACTGTTTCTTCTATTGATGCCCAACAAAATTATGCATCTTCTGGAGAGTCGCAGCAAAATTATCCACCTGGAGTGCAATCTCAGAGTAGTGCGCCTGCTCAATCTGCTCCAACTTATGTCTATGGAAATTCTGTGACATCCATGCAACCAAATGCCCAAGCTATGTATCCAATGCCTTCATACGGTTACCCGTCTTATTATGGTTCAGTTCCCCCTCCCCCTCCTCCTGCTGTGCCTCAGCCAACTGTTGACCCTTCCCAAAGTTTGAATAATGCTCCTTGGGCCTCGAATCCACCTGTACCTCCTCCTTCATCATCTGTGGAGAAGAGCAGCTATAGCACAGATGCAGAATATGAGAAGTTCATGGCAGAAATGAAATGATGATACAATTTTCTAGGATGGTCTTTTGGGATGGACGGTAAACGCTCTGGATTCTTTTCCTTATGTGTCTTGCATATAACATGATATAATTGTTTATTTTAGGGCAAGAATTGTCTCAACTCCATCAAATTGTAATTACATACCATCTGACATCTATTGGTGTGAGACTCATGCTGTTCATGTGGTAACTGGTAATAGATTGCTGGAGTTCATTGAGGGAATTGGGAATACAAGAAAATTGAACTAAATAAATCTCACATCTTTTTACCACGGCAGTTGGTTGTGATGTGAGTTTAACACGTGTTCATCAGGGCAATAATAATGGAAGAGTACAATATGTTTTCTTCTCTAGCAAGAGGAGAACAAAAATTTGATGCAACCTTTCCCTTTTTACCTATTTTCATTTTTTGTTCTCCATTTGGTTGTGAGAATTTTGATGAGAGGGAGTTGAAGTTTCACAACACCTACGGAGTAACCTGACTTGGTCAAGTTTTGTCAACTCATTCTTCATGATGGGCATACCTTTTCTTTTCAGTTTTTAATGTTAACTGGCAACGTAGTAAAATGAGGATGTTCAAATACTGGTAGGATGACTTAGGTGATTGTAGATGCTACATTCTTGAGTGGATGTAAAGAAGTCCTCAGTTACAAGAATGATGTTGTCCTAATAGATCACATGAGAAGATCAAGAGGTAAAAAGATCTAATTTATTGTATATTTCACTGGATGTATAGATGCGTGAATTGAGTAGTGAAAATGATTAATGCATAGAACTCCAGATTTGTTAATGGTTAGGCTTAGTATGTAGTTATTCTATTTCGAGGTGATATCTAATTGAGGACATTATGATTCTGCTAGAGTAGGCTCCCCGGTTTGTGAAATGGTTGATTTGACGCTAACCAGTGACACAGGGCATGTATGGGTAAGAGGTTCTAGAATCTGTAGTTTCTTGAAGAAATGTTCTTTATTGAAAATGTGTATGAAACTGTGTATATATGCCTCTGGCTATCGCTCGACTCTCAAGTTTTAAGTTCAGTCTGGACCCTGGCAATTTCCGTCAGTTATTGATTTCATTTTATTATTATGTCTCGGAACTTTTTATTTCACAGAACTTGCAAGTAGCCTGTCTTTATTTTCTATCGTATCCATAATTGAACGATTTTTTTTCCTCTTAAAGAGGAGAAAAGAACCTAATTTATACACCTACAGCAATATACGGATTATGTTTTGGTATTGCCTCATATAAATTGTTGTTTAAGTTGTGCGGATAGTCATATTCGTATAACTCTTATCTATGTTGCCAGTCAGCGCCTTCTCTCCCATTTATAGGAGTTGGGCTTTCTTTGACCTCATAATTCTGTTTGATAATATTTTTTTATGCATATTTTCACGTTGGGTGCAAGACTACTTAAATCATTATCTCATGAATCATAACACTTGTTTCTTTGTTGTTATTGTAATATTTTGACAGGCTGTGTGTTGGAGCACTTGTCATCCTGATTTGTTATCTCTTGCCATGACTTACTTGTTGGAAGTTTGGGACTCACATCTTTAACCTTGCTGTACTATTATGACTTTGCAGAGAGTTGCCACAAAGTTCAGTTCACCCAGCCTTGTGTTACAGGACTCATTCAGAGATTTATTGCTATGGGTTATTCGTTTTGTAGGACTACCTTCCGTCTTTATGAGGGTTATTTTACTTTAGAGCATCTGGACCTCTCAAATTTGATTTATATTTTATGTTTGAACTTCTTAATAATTGGTTACTGTCATTGTGTGCAGTTCTATCTAACGAGTACTCAGGTGGCGGACTATTTGCTTTGTTTTTTGCTTCAAACTTGCTCCCACTTTTAGTTTATTGCTCTTTAGTTTGACAATTCCACATTGCTGTAGTTCCTGTCTGTGAAAGCAGGTTAATGCCTGCCTCTACAAATCATTGCCGGAAGGTGTATGCATCTTAAATTGTGAGGTTACGTGGGGGTATGTTAATATTATAAATTATTTTTTATATATGCATCCTGTTTTTTTTTCCTAATATTTTCTCTCCGGTGTCTTTTTCTAGTGCATGCATGGCAGGCGAAGTGTGATTATGCCAGAGTTAAATGTTGTGTTCTTGAGCCATTCTTTTGATGTGAATAGGCTGTGCTATTCTTAGGTCTCTTACTAATTAAATGAATTCAGGAGTAAATTAATTTGGTTGTGGTGGTTGATGGTTTTGAATGATTAATTGCAGGAAGAATACAATTGGTACAAATGAAGTGGTTAGTAGGATTTGTTTGGAGTTTAGTGAGTCTGAAAGGAATGATGGTTTAATCTGTATATGAACGTCAGTTAAAACTGGTAAATTATTTTTGGTTATGTAACCATGAAGTTCTATTAGCTGGTGTCAAAGTATAGTAAATACACTGTAGGAAGATATTATTCGTTTCTCAGCTTCAAAGCAGTTATTTACGAGTATCTAGAGACCTCTTGTGATAGAATTCATATCTATTGTGAATTTCGTATATGTCTGAAGGAGAAAAATGAAAATAATTTTGCATAACAATGAATTGGTATATTCTTGTAGATCATTTATCTCTATTTCACATAGTTGTCTAGTTTTCTTGTGTACCTACTCCATATTCTACATAGGATTGCCTCAATGTGAGTGCATGTGTTGCTGTTGATAAACCTTGTTTATGAAATTAGATAATGATTGTTAGGATATTACCTTGTCCTGCTGAATTGCATGATGACAACCGCGTTGAATGTTATGGTGTATTCGAAAAAGCAATTAAGAAAAGAAAAAATGAATTCCTTCGAGATGGTAATGTCATTTGCTTAGGGTGTTCTAAATGTTAAGAGATGTTATTTGCTTGGCTATTGATCTTTGTGAAGTTATGCACTATTGATGCCTTAATCGTGTGTCCAATTGCAATTTGAAGTGGTTATATTCATGCTTTTGGATATTCTATTTCTTGTACATATTATAATTATGCTTTTACATTTGCCCTAATCGGAATATGAGCAACAACTCGAATAATTACATTATCATCTTGTTGTTTAAGAGTTAATAATATATCTAAATACTTTTTATTTTTTTAATTATTATGCTACTCACATTAACTTGCGATCTCGATCCATAGTAAGTTTTATACATATAACAAATTTGCTGCCTTCTGTTGGCTGAAGTACGGACCAAACTAGCTTGTTCAGTCCAATTTTGCATTTTCAATTTTGTTGCAATACTCGATTCTTGGTTCTAATACTTGTGATTAAAAATGTGGTCTGGCTTGATGTATGATATAGAGGCTAGTAGTAGTGAATTTGATTAGTCTTGACGAATTTTAATTTTCTTTTCAGACATTTTAATGAATTAATGAATGAAAAGGTATAAACACGCACCAACATAGATAGGCTGGGGATCATGCCTCCAATAAACATAGGTTGGGACAAAGTTGTGACAACATGTATTGGTTAGGGACCAGTGTAGCAATTTGCCTATATTATTGTAGTACTTTTTACTTTTTCATTACTAGGGTACTATTTACTTGTGCGACACATGTTTGAACTTATTACACATTTTGTCCCTATTTGGTAAAATTTAGGAAAAATTACAGTGGAGGTTCTAAATATTTCATTTTGTTGCAAATTACACCCTAACCTTTCATTTTTGCGATTGGCCAAATCTTTATATTTAACAATAGTGAAATTGCAAAATTAAAGGTTAGCATAAATGAAAGGTTTTTGGGATCTATGTTCCAATTTTTCCTAAAATTTAAGTCAAAGCTAACAATTAATTATAATTATATATCTTATAGGATTCTCAACTTTTTAATCACATATTTTATCAATTTTTGTTCGTGGTGGTGAGTGTTTTGCAAATGGTGGTGATGGTGAGTTGGGCGACAACGGTAGTGGTGGTGAGGTAGCACGGTGTTTGGTTGGTGCCCGTGTTGGTGATGAATTGGGGTTTGGGGGTGAGGTGGAGTGTAATGAAGAGTGTTTGTGACCAATTATATAGGTGATTATGATCAGTAAATAATGTGATATAAAAAGATGTGAGATTGCAATTAAATTTGTAATTTTGAACAATTTGTTGGGTTTTGACAAATTAATTTGATAATTTGTAACTATAAAATAAGTTGTGATTTATGAAATTTATGATTTATGATTGAAAAATAATGTATGATCAATTAATTTGATAATTTGTGATTGATAAATAAGTTACGATCTATAAATTTTTTGATTTGTAAATGTGACGAAGAGGATAAGATGTTGCTCGATTGTTATTAGTACATAACTGTGAATTTGAGACCATAAGCTGTATAATATTGTACCTTAATTAATCAAATATATGATATATATATTTAATTATCTATTTAAGTAATAAAATTTAACTATGATCTGATTTTTGAAAATTTAAAGTAGATTTCTTAATTTTGAAATGTGTCTGACAACTGACTTAGATATGTATTGTTCCCAAAGAAGATAATCAAAAGTTCAACCCAATTGAATCAAATGCCAGAACTACTCAATACTTTGTCCAGATTAATAGCTCAAGACGATGAATTAAGCTACTTGTATATCATTTTTGTATTTCTTGGCATTACGTTCCATGATGTGCAAAAATCGAGGTCATTAATTGCTTCAAGTGTTAATATCAATGACAAAATTGTGTCATATCTTATTGTAAACAAAATTGTGAACCATGATATAAGCGTGGCAAATCTACAAAATAATTACGCATTGAATAATGCTACTTGCAATCGCTAACTGCAACAGTCGCCCTATGTGGCATACATATGTCAAGTGTGTATTTGATGCATTAAATGTGGTCAAAAATTACTACATTAATGCATCAAACAACTACATGTCATGTGTGTGTCACATAGGACGACTGCTGCAGTGAGCGACTGCAAGTAGCATTACGCATTCACTTATCCATCAATCTAGATCTTTATGCACTTGAATACATGAAAAATGCCAAATTCACGAGAATCTTTTATGAAACACGTGGA